GAAAGCCAGTGGGCCTAGATAGATGTTCTACAATCTCTAAGAGACCACAGATGCAAAGCCAGAGTATCATATCCAGTAAAATTATCACAATTGATGGAGAAAGAAAAGAATATCATGATAAAATAGACGTAAGCAATGTCTGCCTGCCAATCCAGCTTTACAGAGGCAGTACAAGGAAACCTTAAAACTGAAGGGGTCAACCACACCCAAAAAGAAAACAAGGAATTGTAGGCTTAAAATGTTCAAAACCTTACTTTAGTAAGTGTTCTTAAAGGCTTCAACCCACCGGGTGGTGGTGGCACACGCCTTTAATCCCAGCACTTGGGAGGCAGAGGCAGGTGGATTTCTGAGTTTGAGGCCAGCCTGGTCTACAGAGTGAGTTCCAGGACAGCCCGGGCTATAAGAGAAACCCTGTCTCGAAAAACTAAAATCCAAACCAAACCAAACCAAACCAAACCAAACCAAACCAAACCAAACCAAACCAAACCAAAACAAAACAAAACAAAAAAACACTTCAACCTCCCTTATAGCCTACGAAAGGTAAGTTGGAGGGGAAGAAAGGTTAATAAGAGAAGAGAGATGTGGATCTGTTTAGAAGTAATTCTTGGGAAGATTTCAATCTTCGATGTCAGCCATGCAATCTAGTATTCTTACACCAAGCATGAATCTGCAGCAACAGTCCATTCTGAATCAGTAGCAATGTCTCAATCAACACAAGTCCACAGAAACAGCAAGAAGCCACCAGAATATCACAAGGAGCTTTTTGATATGTTTCTCTCTATTAAGTCACAACAAGGAAATATCAATGAAGAAAACTCAATGAAGCCCAGCTAGGAGAACCAATAGGAGAGCATCATGACCATAGACCAGTGTCAGCAAAGCCAATCAAAGACTAGTAAGCCAAATCAATGCCAAAGCACCATTCACTGTCTGTTGGGTTATACTTATAACCTTTCCAAACATCATGTGTCCACTCCAGCAAAATATCACATGCCTTTTCACAAGAGAGCTGCCAGAAGAACACCATGTCTGTTCTCAACAAAACACACCCTCATGTGTCTACTTCAGTAAAATATCCTTACAGAGGGCAGGTTGCTGAAAACTATCACATGAAACAACTGAGTCTCCTACAAAACCAAAAAATTCCACTTCAAAAAATGATAAGTAATGCCAAACTAGTAAGTCAAAGGCATCTTGGGTGGGGGATACAACATAACAACACAATAATAAGAATCAATAAACACTGCTCATAGGAAACTCTTCAATATTAATTGTCTCAATTTCCCAATAAAAAGATATAGACTAACAGAAGAGATGTGATAAAAAAGGATCCATTCTTTGACTGCATCCAAGAAACATATGTCACCACCATGGACAGATGTCTGCTTAGAGTAAAAGAATTGAATGTTGTATTCCAAGCAAAGGGACCCCAGAAGCAAACAGGTGTAGCTATTTTAATATATGGAAAAACAGACTTCAAATCAAAACTGATCAGAAAAGATATATACACATATTAAGGATTTTTCCTTATTAAAGGAAAAACACATCTGTGTTCTAAACATTTATGCACCAAACACAAGGATACCCAAGTTAATAAAAGAGACTACTATGGCTAAAATCACAATTGTCTCTCACACAATGATAATGAGTAACTTCAATACCCTCCACTTGCCAATATACAGGTCATGCAGACAAAAAACTAAACAAAAAATTGCTGAGGTTAAATAATACAAATCCAATAGATATAATAGACATCTATAAAACTGTCTACCAAAACACTACAGAATGTATTTTCTTCTCATTAACCCATGGAGCTTTGTTTTTAAAGATATTTTTGGTTGTTTAATACAACATATGCTCCCTGCCCTGTAGTGTTAGAATAGAACTTATAGTTAGTCTTGCATTTGATAGCTATCTTTACATCTCTACTGAACAGTGTTGAATCTGGAAAGCTCGATATGAGACTGCCAGGCTGTGAGGAGGGCTGAGGTGCTGAGGTTCTAGCCTGGGGATGCTACTGGCAGCAGGTTCTCATGGTGCAGTAGTCAGAGGGCCACATTCACTTGTTAGGCCTCATTGGGGCATACCAGACCTCTTGTGTGGTCTCTTCCATTTCAGACTCCTCAGTATCCTGCAGCTAATTTGTCCTTTCCCTTGCCTAAAGGCAAGGGTATTTTGTCTTGTAAGAGAAGAGCAGGCCACTTAGAAGTTCAACTAACCCTGACATTCTTCTGAAAGGCTGTTACATTTGGGTGGCGAAGAAGCAGGTCTAGAGCCACCATGGGTAGTACTACTTCATGCTAAGTACTAGAGGGTCTCATGCCAATGATGACAAATTCTGCCCTGTGTTTCCCTCCAGAAATTACTGATACTCTCCTGTGGTGCCTGCTGCAGCCACAGTCATCATCCAGGGACTTCTGAAGGCAGGTTGTCCTCTAGCTTCAGGCGCATTATTGAGAGATCAGATGGAGACAGCAGCTTGAGTGTTAAGGACACAAGCTATCAACAGCTGTGACTGACGTAGACATAGAATTTCCTATGATGTGTGGAAAGACACAGTGGCTATGGCATGGGGTTGGTGGGCAAAAGTTGTGAGAGACACAGGGAGAAGAAAGGACAATGGAGGAGATGAACAGAACAGTGCACACTACTCTGGATATGAAATCTTATTGTAAACACCCATGCATGTTGGATAATATTGAGTCATCTAAAGTATCCCACCTGTGCTGGAAGTCAGTTCTCAAGATTGTTAACATGGCAGGATAGTAGGTCAAATCAACTCTTCATTATGCTTAGAGAGGGGCTGAGTATTTAGAACACAGATAGGAGTCATTCAGGTGCATGAGGTTATTTCTTTATTGAGGTGCATTACAGGGAAAAATCAAACATCACAGACTTGTGTGTCTTTGAGATTGTCTTGAAGATAGGCTGGAGACAGGGTGTGTTGAACTCAATAGGTGCCAGATGACCTCTCTCTTGGAGACTCTGACACATGCAGGTCAGGCTTTTCAGCTACTTGCCCTTTAAGACAGTTTTAATCCAGTACACATATGAGGAGATTCGGGTGAAGACTGCAGGGGGCTTTGCATGTAGACCTCCATAAGATACAATACCATGAGCCACACCAGCACACACTAGAGGTCCCCCAGAGTCTCCCTGTAGGTGGGAAAAATAATACTATGAGCAAAGATTGCTTTCCACCAACTTTAACCCCCCATAACATAGCTACTCTCAGATTGGAGTAAGAAGTCCTGGTTCACTATTATCCCTAAGTTAGGGATTTAATGACTAATTCACCCTCCTCCCTGACCTTAACCCATTGCTAACATGACTCCCTTTACTTCCTTCCTGTCTCATGTCTAGCTTCAACTGTAGGTTACAGGAACAGCTTGGGCATAGGAAGATGAGACAGAAGGGAGATTTCATTTTTCCAAAGACTCAGGGCTAGAAGCCTAAGAACACAGGCATTAGTCAGTGCCATGGAGAGCTATTTGGTACACTTCCTCTACTGATCCTGTTTCCTGATGTAGTGAGGAAAAGCAGATGTGTACTCACCTTGTATACAGATTTTAATGTTGAGGGACTGCCTACACAGAGCTGGAGGCTATAGTTATAATTTGGATAGTATTTACAGGTCTCTTTATACATGGTTCTCAGTTTCACCTCCCTCAGTGTATCTGACAGAGGTTTATTCACTCCAGTTCTCCCCCAGCCAGCTGCCCAGCACATCTTCCTAGGCTTCATAAAGTCAGAAGGACCAGGCAGGGGAATTACATCTACAGCAGGAGTCAACTCTGCTTTGTTTTCAAGCTGTTGGGGGAAGGAGAGAAGAGATGTCAAAGCAGTAAAGGATGCTTGGATATGGCTCCTTTCACATTGGTAAGTCAGGAGTGGGTTCTGATGAAATGATTTGGACAGGAAAGAATTTGAAGGCCTGAGCCAGGAGGAGAGTTAAGGATGGGAATCTTAAGCAGGGCAAGAGCAAGAAAACTAATGGCACCTTCAGTAACATGATGTCATGGAGTTTGGATTGGAAGTTGTATTTTGGGTGAACGATTTGATTTTCAACTTTTATCTTCTGCTGTGTGGATTCTCTCTTACTCACATCATGAGCTCCAAGGGTGACAGTGATTTCTCTGTTGAAAAATAAAAGAAGCTGTGAAATGTGCTGGTCTTAGGAAGAGTCCTTCCAAGAAAGGCATTAAGTTCTATCTTCTCTATCCCATTGCAGAGAGGAGAGATATGTAAGATGTAGCTCCCAGGACCATATCTTTTATTTTTTTTTTAGAAGAATGTGGCTCAGAAAAATACAGGACTGAGAACTTTCCCCACTCTCAATATTTGGATTAAAACCATGGCTTTGCCCATGGCTATTGGGCACTCTACACTGACTTACACCCCAGTCTGTGTCTGAGCTCTGGTGACTGCAGAGCAAGCAGGAGCTGTAGTTTTTTCCTGACTAGAGCCCTGCTTAAAGCTCTGACCTCTGAAACTTGAGCGGGCACATGAGATGGACCAGTGCATGGCCTTGTGCTCCCTTTTCCCTTGGTGTAAGGAGAACCCATCTGGACATGAGCAGGGCTCAGCCTTCCTCAGGCCTCTGCTGCTCTGTGATTCTTGCTCCTGCATTTCCTAACAGGAAGAGAAGCTTCTTACCTTCCTTTACAGTGTGCAGCAGTCATCACAAATTGGCGGGTTATGAGAAACCCACCACAGCTGTCCAGCAAACCATTGTCAGTGATGATCTGCAGATAGGCCATGTAAGGGCGGGAGTGTGGTTTAGCCTCAACACCATCAATAATCTTCTCTGGAACAAAGAACCCCCCATCCCTTGTCACAAACTTGTGGAACATTCCACATAACCCTAGCCAGGAAAGACAGGGTAAAGCTGAGCAACTGCTCTAAGCCCACCCTACCTGGCATGGGGCTCAGGGCCTTCCATATGTCATTTGGTCTATTTTTCTCACTACTCCTCACAGTCAACCATCATCATTCATTCAGAACACAATGTCCATTCATGTTTCTGACTTTTTACTTCATCAAACATTTCTCCACACCCTCATCCTGCCTTCCTCAACACTAAGAGAATGGCAGAGAAGAGCTGCCTGTCAGAACAGAGAGTAATTTGATGAAACGTTCTAAAGGGGAAAGAGGTTTTTATTGTTCCTTGACCTGTAGATTTCTCTTGGAATTCTTCTAGTCTTGCTACAGGTGGCAACCCCTGGAAAAAGCTGCTTGCTCTTAGATTTGTGCAATTGGAACTTCCAGCCCTCATTTTCAACTGCAGCTTCCCAGTAAGGTCCTATGATGTTTTTATAACTCATCACTTTTAGATGACTTAGGCCTCACTTACCAGATGCAACTGCAAGTAGTTCATTGTGACTTTAGTGCCCTATTTATCCTGTGCTAGAGCTGGGGCTCAGCTAACAATTCAGATTAACCAAGTCAGGAGTAGATCTTAGATACAGCTTGACTGGGTATCATACAAGCAAGTTTCAGTGCTGGAAGCCACATGCCACACTTTTACAGATGCAGATGGTTGCTTACCTCCTTCAGTGTTGACTGGTAAGACAGCCACCAGGAAGATCAGGAGCAGGAACATCCTTTTCAGGGTCTGACCAAGTCTGAATTGGTCACGTTGTCACTTCTCACAACTTTTAAACCATCAGGTGAGGAAAGAGGACCAGAGCCAGAGACCTCTAATTTCCTGTGTGATAATTAAGATCTGAGCTCTTGCCACATCTGTGTGGTGAATGTACAGGAAACACACTGTTGTCAGTTGCTGGTGAGCATGACCACATTCCCCACAGGAATGCTGGACACTGAGAAGGGTAGAAAAACCTATTGAGGCCTTCCACACTAGGCAGAGGACAAGTCCCCTCTCCTGTCAATGTTCAGGGAACTGCAGTAGGATACCTCCAGTCTTGAGTTTGTGATTGAGTAGTTGTGTCCTTTAAAAAAATAACATCTGTACTTCCTATAGTACTGTTTTGAGGAGTTATTTTTTGTTGTTTTTGTTTTTATTTTATTTTGCTTTTTCTTCTTTTTCTTTCTTTTTTTTTCTTTTTTGCACAGGATTTTGGTTTCATATTTAAGCTGGGTCATCTATTAACATCCCAAGAGTTTTGAACACTTTGGGGGATGGGATGAAGAGTAAAGATTTAGGATGAAATGCTATTGGGATGTTGATGACAGTGTCAGGAGGTAAAAGAATGAGTGAATGGGAGCTTTATAGGAAGGGTTTAACAGAGAAATGCTCAGAGTCCCATGCTGTAAAGACAATAATGTCCTCATCATTATGACATCTCAAAGTCTCAGATATTTTATCACCAATGTAGTTAGTGCCCCAAAAGTAGAGACAAAGAGCAGAAAGAAAGCTGTGCTGTTGCCGCTGACTCTCAGCACTTGCAGTGTTCTGCACTGTCAAGGCAATCTGGTCCCCAGGGAAGACTTCGTGCGCATGCAAAGCTCTCTACTGCTCACTTCTCTGTCTCTGCTGAGCCATCAGCTGTGGTTCATCTTGCACTTCTGTATATGCAGGTGCTTGTTTGATGTCAACTTTTGAATGTAAAGCTCAAGTGCATTTCTTCTTAGAATGCCAGAGTCAACCTGACAAAGAGACTCTTTCCGACAGTCTTGTCATTTCATATAGACACAAGGAGACTTCTGATGATGATGAAGTCCTCATGCTGACTTTGCATCTGTGACACCAAAGCTGGAATATTCAAACACATTCTCATTTGCATTGCCTTCTCAGGGGAGACTATAAGGGATTATTATTATCTTATTACTCTGTTAATTTACTTGTATCCTCTTCCCATCAATTTGCAAATGATGAACACATTCAGTAATGGTGGAGTAACTACTAAATATCTGTGTGATTCCATATATCTGCTAAAACAAAATCCATAAGGCTATACACCAAGACAATAAAGATGCTAGATTACAATGTTACTCCCACAGCCTGATTATCATGTGAAAGCATCTGGCTCTGTGCTGTCACAATTTCCACTTCTGATTTCTTATATCTTGATAGTGCTATCACATTTTCCTGGTAGTTAAACATCTTTTGAGTCACTGGGACAGGTTCTTGGGCTAGCCTTCTGCCTCACACATGGCTCACAGCCCTATAACTCAGTGCTTCCTGGGAATCAGTTCACACTGTCAGGCAGACACAATGTGAGCTCCCCTCCTGCTCCCAGAATTTACTGATGTTCTGTCCAAGGCCTAGGGAGTCTGTGCATGTGCTTGGACACCATGTGGAGAAGGAAGTTTGTTTGCTCATGTGAGGATTTCACTGATATATGTGTAAACACCTTAAGACTTTGTGAGTAGAAAGAAGGGAAACAAATGGGGATGACCTTTTAATGGAATAATGTATGTAGATCTACAGTGAGGTCTGGAAGGTAATAACAGAAGGGCCAGGAAAGATACATGAAAGCAATGGGTGGAAATTTGTCATGTTTAATGGAAAAATGAATCACCAAAGTCCTCCTGTGGATTCCACTAGACTGTATGTAAGATAAACTCAGACAAGGATCCAGGCCATTCATGCTCACTTTCCTTGTGTCTTAGCTCATTCTCTCTTTTCCTGCTCAGTCCCCTCATGAGATAGCACCTCTGGGTCCCTGTTACTCACAACTTCTGTTTCTATACTAAGATCACAGGGGAGCAAGCATCTTCTGCTAGGCTTCTGATAGCTAAACTTGGAACCTCTCTTCCTGGGATTGGAAAGCTGAAGTCCAAGGGGAAAAGGAGCCCTTGGCAGTACTTTACCTGAGCAGGGGATGGTGCTGCCCACCATCTCTAGGCAAAACCTTATTCTATTAAAGGTGCTCCCCTATGTTCATAGCACCCTTATTTTTAGTAGCCACAAGCTATAAAGAACCAGATGTCCCTCTACAGAGGTATAGATATAGAAAATGTGGTACATTTACACAATGGAGTATTACTCAGCTATTAAAAACAATGAATTTATGAAATTCTAAGGCAAATGGATGGAACTAGAAAATATCATCCTGAGTGAGATAACCCAAATACACATGGTATGTACTCACTCATAATTGTATATTATCCCCAAAGCTCAGAATACCCAAGATACAACTCACAGACCACATGAAGCTCATGAAGAAAGAAGATCAAAGTGTGGGTGCTTTGGTCCTTTTTAGGAGTAACAAAATACTCATGGGAGGAAATATGGAGACAAATTGTGGGACAGAAACTGAAGAAGGGTCTATCTAGAGACTGCTCCATCTGGGTATCCATCCCATGTGCAGTCACCAAAGGGAGACACTGATGTGGATGCCAGGAAGTGCATGCTGACAGGAGCCTGATATAGCTGTCTCCTTAGTGGTCTGTCCTAGCCTGACACTTACTGAAGTGAATGCTCACAGCTAACCATTGAACTGATCATGGGGTTTCCAATGGAGGAGTGAGAGAGAAGACTGAAGGAGCTGAAAGGGATTCAAACCCCACGAGGAGAGCAACAATACCAATTAACCAGAGCTCCCAGGGTCTAAGCCACCAGCCTGGGAGCACAAAGGGATGTTGGGTTGTACTGTGGGTTCAGTGGGTTGAGTTGTGATTCCCATGTCTGCTTCCCCAAAGGGCTGGGGCCATGGCTCAGGGAAGCTGAGGTGCAGCAATTCAACTGAGTTCACTCTGCTGATGTTCAGTGGACGTTAGGCTGTGAGAAGCCTCAAGGCTCTCCTCTGGGCATGTGGAGAAAACAGTCTGAGATATTCTATGTGGGCCAGAGCTCTTGGGTTGAGGATCCCACGGCCAGGGGCAGCAGGGGACAGACTGGTCTCAAGCCCTTAGGCTCTCAGGCCTTGCTGAGAGGCCTCAGAAGGACTGAGATGGTGTTGGGGAGGTGGAGAGGGCATATGGGCTGGATGGACCTGCAGCCTAAAGGGGTGAGGGGAAGAAGATAAGCTCCTTTGGTTCCCCACTGGAAAGAGACTCTGGTCTAGGCGACTCACTTGGCTGGGTGTTGCCTGGGTCTTGGCTGGGTCTCCACAGCTAGAACATAGAGAGGTCCTCGGTGGGAAGTTAGTTTGCTTGATAGTTGAAGACCTTCTCCTTGGTTCTCCATGCTGGGCCCCAAAGATGAAAGGTAGTCAATGGATTTAAAATGTTTATTTTCATGGTGGAAAATGGATGAAGCTATACCCTGTGTTCTCAGGGTGGGTCTGAGGTTAAATACCTTTTGCAAAGAGGTCGAGGGTCTGGGAAGGAATGTTTAATTGGTTACACACTCTGGCCTTTAGGTATCTAATTAATGTAGAAATCTGTCTTGAGACTTTGTGGCCTGTAGTCATGCACTCTGCCTGTGGAGAGGCTAGTAGGGGTGTTTTTCTACATGCCTGAAAAATGCAGATCGATGCAGGTCTTTGGCCTCATGTCAGGAGCCTGGAGTCTGGGAGCGTGGCAAAATGCATGCTGTCCCTTGCAGGGAAACCTGTGAGGTTTCCAACCTGCTGTTTCTCTGGCCATCTCTAGCCAGTGCTTGACAAGAAACCATGCTGTCCTTTCAGGGTCCTACAAAGGGAGGGACCCATGACTCTGGCTGTATATGTAAGAGAGGATGGCCTTGTCAGACATTGGTGGGAGAGGAGAGTCTTGGTCCCCTTGAAGCATAGATGCCCCAGTATGGGGTAATTTGAGAGTGGGGAGGTGGGAATGGGTGAGAAGGGTGGGAACACATCCTCATAGAAGCATGAGGATGGGTGATGGTATAGGGAGTTTCTGGGTGGGGGGGAAATAAGGAAAGGGGATAACATCTGAAATGTAAATAAAATATTCAATCAAGAAAAAGATCTGATCATCTTATATTCTCAGAGAGTGTTTAAAATTAAAAAAAATTATCCCCACTGTTGTAAAAAGAAGAAAACACTAGTTTGATAGTTCAAGCTGTTTTTATTAGTAAAGCACAGAGGCACAGTCTTCTACAGATATCAAACAACATTCTTCTTGGACGTTTTTCATCTTTGTGTATGGAAACACTGACCCTGTATGATAATGCTGCCCCATTGCTCCTTCTGTCTGACTCTGTTTGTGTCTCCATGGATCTGTGGGAGACTTTCCCAAACACCAGCATCCTGAGAATGATGCTACCTCATGCTTTATAAAAGGTCATTTCTTTATTAGCCAACCAGACCTTAGTAGATAGTAGGGAAGACCTATGCATATTCAGGACAATGGTGGGGCCTAGAAAATGAAGAGAGTGTAAAGACCAGATCAAGGGCTGGGGAGAGGGTGTAGTGATGATCCAGAGTCAGAATTCATTCTTATGTTCTGGACCTCTAGGATGAATCTTCCAGGAGGGAGTTGGCTCACATGGTCTCCTGAGTGCTATAAGGCAGACTACAGGGGTTGGGTTGTCACAATTTTGGATGCTTTGGAAGGAAAACAAGAGAAGCAAGTTTTTTTTTTTTAATTTTTAATTTTTATTTTTTAAATAAGTTAGAAAATTGATGTTCTTAGACTTAACTGAGATAAGCTGAAAGCTTTGCACAGGACTCTCTTCTTATTTCCAAGGAATATGTGGTTCTGCGTTCCATCTACCACTGGGGTATTTGAGCTCTGTTAAGGCAAGCTCAGGAAAACTATGTTGCAATTTCCCTATGCTGTCATCTTG